AGGTTGTTTTTAAACTTAATAGAATTCCTGATAAAAGTGCTTTGGTTACAGAAGCATGTTGGAACTCTACCTATATAAGTACGAGGTTTAGCCGCTTCAAGAAGCTATTAGGGGTGTATCTTTGATGTACTTATGAATATATATGGACACATGGCTTATAGTGTCAAACTAATATGTATTTAAGTAATTAATCTTGTGTGTGTAATATCTTCAAGTTTCCAAATGTGTTGCTTTTGGTTCAAACGTTTTACGATACCAAATGGATACGGATTCTTGAATTGTATATTGCACTAAGTGGGAGTTCAAGTCTATGTACACTTTCATTTATGCATAAGATTGTTTTGTGATGATGATGTTTTTGCAATGTGTCTAGTTTAATTCTCAAAATGGGGGAGGATTGTTGAATAATTTTGAGAATTTAGACAAATCCATGTTAATTAATTATATTACTTAGGCAAAGGTGTTGTAATTTAATTAATAAAGAATATTAAAGCAATTAATCTTGGTTAAAGATTGATAAAGGAGAAATCAAACACTTTGATAGAAAACCTCTGTTTTAGAGGGGAAGGAATGTTGCCCCTGTATGCCTCTGTACGCTGCCCGGTCAGCCGCCCGGTCAGGGTGGTGCTCGCCCGACCGGGCGCGAGGGTGATCAGAATATCATCTTCTACGCCGCCCGATCGGGAAGCCACCGCCAGATCGGGCGCGAGAAGGGAACAAAACTGAAGGAAATTGAAATCTGGAATTTTGGATTCACCGCCCGATCGAGCAACCACCGCCCGATCGGGCCCGAGAGGTGGCAGAAATTGACACTCATAATCGCCCGGTCAGGCGGTGGCAGACCCGATCGGGCGCGTGGTATTCAGTTTGAAAGCTGGCAGCTTCGTCAGTTTTTGTACGGTTTTGGTAGTTTCTCTTCGTGACTTTTGGTGAAAGTTGGTACTTTAATATATATATGTTCTGGGAACATATGTTGGAGATAGATTGAGAAAAATATTCAGATTTTATTTTTCTTGAAAACCTTTTGCAATTTTCTAATTATCATCATCATAATTACACAAGCTTTTATACATTGAATTGTAATCATCCTACTTGTGATTACAATTGTTCTTCGTTGTATCTCCTAAGTAAATTTCAGTGAAACCCGGTTGTAGTATAGGGTCAGAATTATACTTTTGGGAAAGTGATTCTGTTCACGCCTCGAAGATTTTCCAGTTTAATTTGTTTGCTATTTTTGTGACCCTTGTTTAACCACAAATTTCCCCAACAGTTTGATCATATTTTAAAAGGGCAAAATCAACATCGCCCTCTTTGTTCAATTTTTCATTTTAAAAAAAAATAATTCTAGGTGCTAATAGGCATAAATTTTCTATAATAGGTGCTAATAGGCATAAATTTTCTATAATAGGTGCTAATAGGCATAAATTTTAATTTTGTCATTATATATATACAAAAGTATTATATTTAACAATATTTAATAGCAAATATATACAAAAGTATTAACCAAGTTGTATATCAAGCAATCTTCTCATCCTTGCAACCAGCCTTTAGGTGTCCTCCATCCCTAAAACATTGACTTGATCCCCTAAATGCAAAAAAAAAAAAAAAAAAAAAAAAAAAAAAAAAAAAAAAAAAAAGAGTATTATTCTACAATATTCATAACAAGAGTATTATCTACAAAAAAACACAATATACATTGCTATCAGACGAGTAGTTCCAAGACAGAGCATATAGGATTTCGTACATAACAAAACACACATAGTTATGGTCACAAGCCGAAATTGCAAATGCATACAAGATCAACTGAAATGAAATCAATAATAAAAAAGGGTGTAAGAGTTAGTCGAGTGCATTTCTAATATTGCCCCCCTCTGTTTGCAAGTGATGGCACCCACTGTTAATTCTTTTATTCAAGCAGTAGATACTTATCAAACGACTCATTCATTCAATCAAATAAATGTCTAAGGGAATCCAGACTGAAATAAGCACTTTGACAATATAAAAGTCGAAATCAAGATATAATAAGTACTTTGACAGTATGTTCATGTTTTCAGACCACCTAATGTATGTGCCTTCAATTTAATAACATAATTCAAGTAGAACAAAAGTTCTGAAGCTAATTACATGCATACTTATTTCATTTACCAGAAGTCGGTATTTCATTTACCAGAAGTCAGGTCTACAGAGTTTCCGATGATATGATTTGATGTATGATACTTATTTAATGTATGAAATGATATGTCTGCATGCAATCAAGGCAAGCAAACTAAGATGTAATGAGGCCAAAAAGAGCCAAAAGTCAGAATATTCATAGTCCAAAGGGTACTGATCATATTCTTAGTCCACAACACAACAGTCTGCAACACTTCATGCAGCCAAAACAATGTTATGCCATATATACACAAGAATTTCACGTTTAGTACCATGTATACACAAGAATATTGAAATTCAAGGAAACATTCATGGCTTGAAAATATTAGCTAACATAACCATGGCTTGAAGATGCATCCACGCACAAGGCAATTTTATGTAAAGAGTGAGCTAGAAAATATTACCTCTATTAAGCATCAAGGCCAATCTTCTCCATGACTAACCGAAGCTTTTGTTCTAGGTCTTCTTGTTTCTTCTTAGACGCTTCCAATTCAGCTCGCATCATATTATTTTCATTTTGTAGTTTTTCAATATTTTGTTCCAGCTCAGCTCTTCCTATCTTTCCATCTTTAGACGACACCGGGTGCGCTTTGCCTAAACCTCGGGCATAACCTGAACGATGTCCAAGAACCTTCACATAAGCTTCTTCAAGAGTAAGATTATCAACCCCTTTTCACCAATTTCTTTCTCATGCAACTCCCTTAATTCCTTGAACTTCTCCGCGGCCTCATCGTCAAACTTCCCATTTTTATGCCTTACAAGATAAAAAAAAAGTCAGAATTTTAAAATAAAGAAAAACAAAGTGTTCGTGCATTAGACAAATATTCAATATACCTCTTTGACTTCTCCCATAACTTTAAATACATGGGATCATCATTAGCTTAGGATGAGGTGGTCACATTTGAACAAGAACCGTTAATTTCAGTGACCTCATTCTCATACTCACAAGCTTGTGCCTCAAGTTCCTATCAAATCACATACATAAACTTATTAATTTTAGCAAGCACTACTACAAAAACATGAATATAGAACGCCTAAAACAAGCAATATAGAACGCCTCAGAGGCGTTCTTCTGAGGGGGTGCCCTATAAAGTCTACAGAACGCCTCTTTGGGGCGTTCTATATCTAACACAATACAACAATGAGAGAGAATGGGAAATGTGCATTAAAGAGGCCAGGTGACCAAGATGGGCCGAGTTCGATTTTGGGTGGGCTATGGAAAAAAAAATACAGCCTAAAATTAATATTTTTTGTACATGCTTTTTTTTTTTTTTTCCGGACCCAAAATGACACAAACTTGTTTTAAATTACGGATTTTTGGAAAGCTTTTTCGGCCCAAACCTTGGCCTGACCTGGCCCAACTTACCAAGTTAAGTATTTTGCCTTTGACCCAGCCCGGCCCATGTGCGAGTTTATAGCCCAGGGCCGGTTAGAGCCATCGAACCAGTGATTAAGGGCCCGGTATAGGTGATACCGGAGCATTTGGACCGAGTATTCAAGACCCAAAGAGGAAACCCAGATTGGCCCAAAGAATTGGAGCCCAATCGAAGTCCAAATAGTGGCCCAAATGAACCACCCGGCCAAAGAGGCTGGCGCCCGGAGGCGCGCCCGGCCGAGCGGGAGAAGCTTAGTCTGGCGCCCGGTGACGCGCCCGGCCGGGCGCGAGATTGCTATTAGAGATAAAAAGGCGCGCCCGATCGGGCGCGTGTATTTTTAGGAGACGATTAGCGTCGTTTTAATTTGCTTTAGTTTAGGATTTTTGTACGGAATATAAATACTCCTCCGTAATACGATTTTAGTACCTTCTTTTCTTAGGCTTTCTCTCTCTACTTAGTTTTCTCTCTCTAAACCTTTGTTCTTAATTCTTTCATTAATTCAGATTTATTTTGGTAACGATTTCTCTTTCCTTAATCTTAGTTATTTATTTTATTCCTTTCACCATGATTTATTTTATTACTTTGATTAGTTTAGTTTTTAATATGCGTGAGTAGTTTAATTTCTAGGGTTTATGGGGATCTAATAAATAATAGGCTAAATTAGAAAATAACACCTGTTAAAAGACCTAATTTTGTTTTTAACACCATAAGATTTCGAAGTTTAATTTTAACACCTGTTAAAAAATAAAAATTTTGCTTTCACCACCAGATAACAGAAACTGTGACGGAATTTTTTGGTGGGGCCCACATAGTCGTTTACCCTCCAAATTCCATCCCCTTCAATTCGAATTTATCTTCTCTGTCATTTATTACCACCCAACTAATTTTGCTTCATTGAATTTCGTCTGCAAATCTTGAACAACCAAAATTACTGCGAACATTCAAACCCTATACTGATTGTTGTGATTGAGAAATTGAGTTGGAAGAGGAGGTGTCAATATTGGAGCGAAACAAGTCAGCGAGATTCCGTCAGCCATTTCCAACATCCAAAAAGCTTGGACTTTTTCGTGGATTCTGACAGCAACAGGAGTAAGATTCCAATACAGGTACCTTTCGAACCCTTTAAAGTAGTTTTCAACAAGTACTGTGTGCTGCATTATGCCATTTGTGTGGGTGTAGTAGGGTAATTTGGGAAAAAAAATTAGGAACCCTAAGAACAGTAAAATGGGTTAATTTGTAATTAAAGTTGAATTTGATTAAATTAAGTATGATTTGGTGTAATGTGTGAATTATTTAGTTTAAATCATTGATTTTATTGACTGTTGACTGGTTTATCATTGTGTTGGTTTAAATATGTTTGATTTTGTTGATTAAAGTATTGCGGTGGACTGTGTAATGGGGTTAGCTATGTTGGGTTTTATTGATTTGCTTTGCATTTGTTTATTAGGTAGAAAAATGGTCGACAACGAAGATGGATTAATTGATATAGTATTTAGAGTAGGGGTGCTTTTGTTACTAAACAAGTGTCAAAATCAAAGCATTTGCTTTGTTGGTGTGGTGGGTTATGTTATTAGAGGAGGGATGTGGTAGTGGATAAGATAGATTTGCATTATTTGAGGGTAGCTGCTGTGCATGGGTTTGTGAACTTTAATGTCCATGTCCCACCTAACTACAGACTTTGGTATAAAGAAAGAGGTAGGACCTTTAACACAGGGAGAAGGGAGTTAGTAAATGAAGAGGAAGTGAAGGGGCTGCTGGAGACAGTGAATGGGGAAGGGTATGTTGAAGTATTTGTGACTGCTAATGAAACATTAAGGCCCATACATGAGATCCAGGCCCAGTCCACTCCAGTAAAGGCTGAGAGAAAGGGGAAGAAAAGTTCAGGTAAGCCTGCTGTAGTTAGGAAGAGCCCAAGAATTAACAAAAATGAGCCTAAGGTGAGGGAGGGTGAAGAATCTCCTAAACCTAGATCTAGACAGGGGATAGAAAAGGTTGAAGGGGTTTCTGCTGAGATTAAGGGGGTTCCTGGTAAAGGGAAGTTGTTGAGTAAGGGGAAACAAAAGGGTAAAGCTAAGCTTGAAAGGGGTTCTGGCAGTGTGAAGGTGTTGGATAAGGGAAAGGGAAAAAAAAATCTGTAGGCAAAGGATTGATTTTTGAGGATAGTAGTGAGGGCAGTGAGACTGGGAGGGAAGATGATTTTTCTTCAAGTGATGGGAGTGAGATTGACATAACTTGGGAGCCTGGAGAGGAGGAGTATGACAGTGGGGATGAGAGGTGGTTTGTGCAGAATTCTGAAGAAATTTTAGCTAAGGTAACAAGAAGTCTTGGGAAGCAGTTTGATGTACATGATGAGGGGGTTTCCAAGGATCCAAAAGCAAGGTTGACAGATAACTTGGATGTGAATGAGGTACAACTACAAGAAGAAATTGAGGGAGAATCAGATGACCTAAGGAGCTTGGATGGTTCATCTGATGAAGAGGACAAAAGTCCATGGTTTAATGACAAATCTGACTTCTCAAAGCCTGTTGTACTTGTTCATAGGCTTAGGTTTAGCAATGCTACAGTGTTGAGGAAAGCTTTAAGAGTGCATGCCATACAGAGATGCAAGAGACAAACCTATCCTCACCCAAATGGAATGGATGAGGAGGTACATGATGAGGAGAAATAATGAGAAGTGGGAGGACTCCAAGGAAATCACAACCAACATCACTCCATATGTGCATAAGCTATTTCAGAGGATGAGCTATGTGGCTAGGAATTGCATAATTGAAGCTGCCAGGGATGACACTTATGAAGTGCAGCTGAATGATGACCAGGTTCTAGTTGACTTGCCAAATTGGTCTTGTTCCTGCAATCACTGGCAATTAACAGGCATCCCATGTATTCATGCATTTGCATGCATAATGGATCAGAGGGTTGATGCTGAGCAGTTTGTCCACCCCTATTACACTATGGACACTTACAGAGCAGCATATGAGCCTGCAATTCAACCTATGCCAGGCCCAAAGCATTGGGAGAGAGTGAACATGAGAGAGCCTCATCCACCAACATTCAAACAGCAGCCTGGAAGACCTAAACAGAAGAAGAGGAAGCTGGAACCTGGGGAGGGAACATCTGCAACAGGAGGGGAGCAGGGAAGAAAGAGGAGGAAAAGTCAGTGTAGGATTTGTGGTGGATTTGGCCACTATCCCAAGACTTGCAAGGGCCCACATGAACCTGAACCAACTGAGCAGAGAACTGCAGGAAGGCCTCCTTTAAATTCACCTTGGGTAGTTGAGCAAAGAAGAAGAGGGAGATCAAAGCTGCTAAGAAGGTATGCTGTTGGATTTGTAACTTTTCTTTTAAAATTTGTGATGAAATTGGATGTTGATACTTGTTTATTGGTATTTGTGTTTAATAAACAGAGTGCAATAGGGGCTGGTCCAAACAGCATTGGGAATAGGACTTTTCCCCAAGAGCAACCTGGCTGTGAACCATTGAGTAAGAGGAAAGGTTCACACAGTCAACAAGGGCAGCCACAAGCCAAGCATCACACCACCCCCTCTTCCAGCCAACCTGAACCCAATGCTACTGGAGTGCAGACAAGGAGGGCTAAGCTGCTGACTTCCAGACAAGGAGGGCTGACACAATGATGTTTGAATTGTTTTTCTGAACTTTAGTTGTTGGTTGTATTTTCTGAACAATCAGTTGCAATATTTGTAGCTTTACTTTTGGGTTTAGGACAAGGATCCTGTTTTGTTAAATTAATACTTTGCTTTAAGGCTTTACCAGCCAATTTTGTTAGGAACTGCAACAACAAATTTGATCAACAACTTAAATGCAATATCAACTACTTAGGTACTTACTTAATTCATTGCTTTCATAATTGTGTACATTAGTTTGCTTGCAATAGTGGTTCACTGCCACTTATAAATCATTACATTACCATATTACTGTTTCATGCAATTACTAGCATTACAAGTTATACTTAATGCATTACAAACCCCCTAATAAGAAGGATCACTAATGTGACCAAACTAATCCCAACAGCAAGACTAAGAACAGAGTGATCTGATCTAGCATTCCTTCCACGCATCTCTCTGTTCATCTTGTTCCTGTCAGAGTTTAAAGCCTTGCATTTCATTTTCAGCCTGTCCACTTCATTCAGCAAACACCTCAACTGTCCACCAAGATCATCAACTTCCCTCTTGTAATCACTAATTTCCCCCTTCAACAGTTTCTTATCTAACAACAAATTGTTGATCACCTCTGTTTGCCAGGCTGTCCCATCTTGTTCATCCACCCATTCAAATGCTTTACAACCTCTGCTCTCAGTTACAGGATCGTAGAACTTGCATGTTCTGAACTTACGACCAGGGTTCTCCCTTGTCCAACTGGTAAGCTTTGCAAAGGGAACACCACATTTGCACTTCTTCTCCTTTGAAGGTGAGAAACTTGTAGAAGACATTTCCTGCACCAATTTGCCATCCATAATAAGCAAAACCATTCGTACTATGAAAAAAATACAATTGAACCAAGGGAATTAAACAGTCACTCCTACAAATCAAAACCCCCAAATTATTTCTACAATGAACCCTAATTTCATTTTCTCGCAAATTACAGCACAATTAACACACAATGAACCCTAACTATTTACGAATTACATGACTATTGCCAGATACGACCTGAATTATGCATTTAAGTCAACAACATATAGATTAATTTACGCCTTATTTTTGAAAGATAAATTAGGGTTTCTAAAGTGTTATTGACGCAATTACCTGATTTGATATCTACGTCCCCCAAACAATGATGGTAAAATCAAACAATTTCGCCAATTTGTTAGTCAGAATTCGCAAAATGTGAAGCAATTTTGTGTAATCAGCTCAACAATTCTACATTAGTGAAGGATGTCGTAACTATATAAAGCAGTTTGGAAAAAATAGCCGTTATTGTGGGCCCAGCTAACAGATCCTCTAACGTTGTTCCAATTTAGGTGCTGAAAGCAAAATTTTTATTTTTTAACAGGTGTTATAATTAAACTTCGAAATCTTAAGGTGTTAAAAACAAAATTAGGTCTTTTAACAGGTGTTTTTTTCTAATTTAGCCTAAATAATATGAAGGGGTAAATTATTGTTGTTGATTATCAGTGCTAGATTAATTTCCTATTGATTGATTTAATGCTCTGTGACTAGATTAGGCCTATCTTTTATGCATGAGTTTGGCAATATTGATTCAAGAATCGAGAGATGAGAATTAATGTTTAGGTCTAGTTTCAATAGGCAAGTTAATTTATAAATGGTTAAGTCAAGATTCGAGAGATGAGATTTAATACCGTAAATTAATTGTGTGATTGTAATACGTAGCGAGAGCCCTTTACAATTTGGTTAATTGATGCATTGATGATTGACTATTATTGATTATTGGTATTGCATGATAATTTCTTATTGGATTGTTTTAATGTTTTACAATTGCGGCTTGTAAAAGTATAGCAATATTAAATTGATGAATCGAGCAGATGTTAATTTGATATTAAAGGCTATTTTCAATAAGAACTTAGATCTAGTAAATTGCGAGAGCCTGTTAGATCTATGTTGATTAATAAATTGCGAGAGCCTGTTAATCATGTTATTTATGCAATGTCAATGATTGATTACTATGTTTTACCCTGAAGTGTTATTTATTGGTGAACCTATGCCCTAGATCCTTTCATATATTGTTATCTTCCTATTCTCAACCTTAGTAGTTTAGTTTCTTACTTAATTATAAATATTGGTTACTTAAATAATTTAGATTATAATAATTAATTAGGAGTAAAAAGACTTGTTTCCCTGTGGAGATCGACCCTACTTCCCTATCTACTTTAGTTAGAGGATTTAGGTATTACTTTTGATTAGGGGATACGACTTTACCCTGTCACGCTTCATAAGAGTAATGTAAATTGAAAGGTTGTAATGTAAATTGAATGATTATTATTCAGTAAATCCCTACCTTATTAAAGATTTTAACCAATCGCTCATGAATAGTAGGCTCATTACTTCAATTGAAATAATGAAAAATCATTTCATTTTCACAAAGTCTTGTATGTGGATGGTCACACGGTGTGGCCATCAATCACGAGGGTTACTTCGTTAGTGTTATAGCTTATACGGGTTACTTACTCAGATCAGTTTTACAGGGGTTACTTCGTTTGTGTTAAAGGGGTTACTTAGTTAGTTTTACAGGGTTTATCGAGTCAGTGTTAGGGGTTCACTTTATTCTTTTACAAGTGGTCACATGGTGTGACCAGCCACACACAAGACACACTGTTTCATTTCCCAAAAAATAAAAAACAGCAAAAAAAGTGCATTATGATCCGTGAAAAAAAAAAAGTTTAGCATCATAAGAAATGGTGTTGGCAGCCATAAGAATAATGTGGGGAGGAGAAAAATAGTTTGAAGGAACAACCTGCTCAAGTACCATGAAAGGGTTTTATTCCTCCGTAATTAGGTGTTTAGGTTTCTGTTTTCTTTTAGTTTTCTAGATGGAGCGTTCTTCTCCATCTAGATGATTGGAGAAAATTAGGAAGAACATTAAAAAGATGATCTAGAAGTTGTACATAGGAGAAGAACGCTCCATCTAGAAGTGTAATATTCTTTTCACAAAAGCCTGGGTCAGATATCCTGCCTCAATCCATACTAATGTTTATCAAGGCCTGCCCCTATATTAAATGCTATACATGTTATCATCTCAACCAGCTTTTATTAGTGTTTTAAATTTCACATATTTAACATTATATATTCCTTTTAAAATAAAGGTTATTTAATTTATTTATGTTTCACAAGATTAGAAACACTACAAGAAAATAACCTTTTTGTAGCGATTATTTTAACCTTTAGTATCGATTGTAATTGAAACAAAAAGGTTTCCCAACGAATGGTCATTCGATACAATATTCCCCGTTGCCTTAGCTTTTAGTAGTGGTTTTCAATATCGCTTAGGTTGGCCTCAATAATCGATACGAAAAACTACATCCAATCGTGGTGATTATTGTAGCGATTACAATCGCTATAAATGTTTAACTCATTTTCTTCAAAAAAAAAAAAAAAACATGTGTATGACAATATGTTATGACATATTTTATATTAAATGTTTCACCAATATGTTATGACATATTTTATGTAATCTTTGTCAAACAATATTTATATATATATAGTGTTAAAAAGACTTTTCGTATCGATTTTTAGGATTTAGTGGCGATTGTAAATGATACGATTTCTCAAAATTATATGAATGTGTAAAAATAGTGTGGATATGTATTATTATGTTTTCCGTATCGATTTTATATGGGAAAACCATGACGATTGTAAAATGATACGATTTCCTTAATTATTTCACAAACATACTTGCATATTGTAGCGAATGTACAATCACTACGAATTAATCTCTACGAAAAGACATTTTTCTTGTAGTGAAAATAAATACATAAAAAAAAACCTAACATCCGAGACAACGCCCAAATCACACACTAGCTATACAACAGTTGAACATAATTATCAAATTAAAGAAGTACGTACAAACTAGCAATCCAGGGCATTGCCCAGGACGCACACTAGTTAATAATAAAACTATGGAAATTTTGTTTTTATTAGTCCCAACTTTACTTGATTCACTTTTATTTATACCACGACATCTACTTCGTATTACTTATTTTTTCTAATTCGAACTTTGTTGGGGATTCGCTTTTATTAGACCAAGATGACTAGTAACCTGATGAATGAATTTTTTATTTTTATTTTTACTTTATTTCTTTTTTACGACCAACACTACCTATTTACTATCTCTCCAACACTATTGAGATAGTAAGACCCGTCGCCAAGGATGTATTCGGTAGTGGAGGGCAAGGATAGGGTTGCTTTGTTGGTTTGGGAGGGGATGGGTGGTTTTGGCCGTGGGAGAGAAAAAAAAGTGGTGGTTTTCAATGGTAGTAGAAGAGGGGTGTTTTTGGCAATGGCATTGGAAAGAAGTGGTTTTGGATGCTAAGGGAGAGGACGGTTGGATGGGGTGGGTTTGGTGAGGGGGGTGTGTGGGGAAGAGGTGGTTTCCAGGGGGGATGGGGAGAGGGGATACATTTCGACAATAGGGAGGGGAAAGGATGGTTTATGGTGGGTGGGGTGGGGTGGGGTGGGGTGGGAGGGAATTGACATCGCTGAAAGCAAAGGTGGTTAGCCAAGTGGCTGTGCACGGATTTTGAGGAAGGTGATCAATAGGGTATAAGAGGAGTTAGGTGCTAGATGTTACATGAATACACGATCATTTAATAATGGAGTTTAGTAATAGGAAAGTTTGTGAAAAAAACTACCTTATAAAACACTTTTTTTTTTTTTTTTTTTTTGTGCGAGAAACTACATAATAATAATAATAATAATAATAATAATTATTATTATTATTATTATTATTATTATAATAAAAGCACGCCTTGATCTTGCAGATAAACCTAGGACGTTTATCAAGGGTCAATTTCGTCAAATTGGCTAGCGAAATAGGGGTGTATCGATAATTTAACTTCGACTGGGAATCTTTGCTTTTAACTTCATACAAACGACGTTACTCAAAAGTGAGTTAACCATGGTTAATTGGAGTTACCTCGCATGGCCACAACAACCACCTTCGTCGCTTGCGGCAATACCGGCCGACCAGCCGAATATTAAGGCACCCTAGTAGCAAAATATGTAAAGTGGGGCTATATTAACCCTTTAGGGGAAGGTATGACAAAGAGGGTGGTGGTTAACCGCCGTTATCATGGTCGCCGCTCGCGATTGTGACTTCTGAGGTGGGTTGAATATGGAGGAACGGTGGGTAGATCTGGTAGTAGTGGTGGGGTCAATCCAAAGGAAGAAGACGACTAGGTTTGTAGAGGAGAGAGAAGGAAGTGTAATACTGTTTTTGGGGTTAATTATGATGGATGTTGAAGATTAGAGCCAAAGTTCAAAATTCAGAGCAGCAAAAAAAAGAAGGAAAATTTGTTAAGAATAAGTCAACCTTTACGTAATTAGCTTAAAATAAGCCGACCTTTCGATTAACTCAAAATAAGTCAAGTTTTAAGGGGTATATTCTTGTAATAGGCCAAATGACCTAGAACCTACAAAACAGGTCATTTTTTAATTAAAAATAATATATTAAAATTAATTTTTATTAATAATATTAAATTTAATTAAGTAACTATGATTATATAAAATAACTTATAAAATAAAATAAAATTAAAAAACCAGCCAACCCCTTCCCCCACCCACTGCCACCCCTACCAGCTGCTGGCGCCGGCGACCACCTCTCTTTCACGGCGTCGGCGACCTCATGAATTCTCTCTCCTCTCCCACACTTTCCATCCTTTCTCTCCCCTTACTCTCCCTCTGCAACTCCCTTCATTATACAAACCCACAAACACCCATTTTCACAACTTTCTGGAACACCATTTTCATCATAATTATCTGCAAAATTCATGCTCAAGCTTACAATAATGGTGTTTTTCCTCTCAATTTCTCTCTCCTCCTCTTCCTTCTAAGTTCTAACCACCATCACTTCCCTCTCTTTCACCACCTCAACCCCAACTATCAGCGTAACAAAAAAACACCACCCATCTTCCGCCACCCTTACACATCGCCGTCGCCGTCAACCACCATACTCCTCTAGTTTACTCCTCCTCCGCATCTCCAACACCCTTGTCCACTCTGTTGCTGCAAATCGCTCTAAGGACGCCGTCTTGCGCTTCAGTGCTTCACGAAGAGACGGGAATGGGTTTAGGGGTTGGGATTAGGAATTGAGGGTTGGGTTTTGGGATGGGAATGGGGTGAGGGAAGGGATAGTGTCGCCGGCGACGAAGGACATAGGTGGTCGCCGGCCGCTGGAAGGGGAGGGGGCTGGCACGCCTGGCAGTGATTGGTGGCTGGGTTTTTTCTTTTTTTTTTCCTTAGTTTTTTTTGTTTATTTTATTTATTTTGACATAATTATATAATTGTGAATTAATTCTTTTAAAATAATCAATCAAAAAATAAATCTTAATTATTTTTTTTTGAAAAAGGACCAATCAGATAATGACACTTGTCATATTTAACCTTAACAACCGGTTAATTTCTAATCTAACAGGTTTTGACCCATTTTGAGAAAATACCCTTAAAATTGACTTATTTTGAGTTAATTGAAAGATTGCCTTATTTTAAGCTTACCACACAAAGGTTAGCTTATTCTTGACAAATTTTCCAAAAATGAAAAAGAAAAAGAAAAGTACTCTGAGATGAAGCCTTGAAGGAAGGATTGAAAACAAGACAAAAGCACCTAACTCTAGCTGAACAAGTTGAATTAACTATTATCGTCCTTCTGAAGATTGTTTATTGTTCCGTGAAGTTACTTTGTCATGCTTTTTCAGAAGCAATTGGACACGTCAACTGGTAGTAATTGTTTATTGTTATCCCAATACTATTTTATTACAAGAATGCCACTTGATAAACAAAAAATGTTTATCAAGGGGATTAGCTTGTATTTCCTCATTAAAAAAAATGTTGTAAGAAATTACCGTATAAAAAGGTAAATGTTGTAAGAAACTACATACCCTTGGTTGAAAAGTCGTCGTTGACTTTTATTTTTTGACGTTGACCATGTCACGTGCCAATTAAGAAAAAAAGAGGGAAATGGTGAATTAAAAGTCACCGTGATTGACACATGATGTGGTCAACGTCGGAAAATGAAAGTCAACGGTGACTTTCCGATCAATGATAGTCTCTTACAACTTAGGGCCTGTTCACATTTACTGAAATGAGCTGAACTGAACTGATTGGAACTGAACTGGACTAAGCTGAAATGAATATTTTATGAGAGAGGGAAATTAAGAGCTGAGCTGAACTGATTGAAGCTGAACTGAACTGAACTGATTGGAGCTGAACTGAACTGAATTTAAGTAAATGTGAACAAGCCCTTATAAGCTAGTTTATTACAACAGTGCAAAAAAAGTGCTTTATAAGGTACTTTGGAGTGAAAAACTGAAAATAGTCAATTGTTGAGTTGTAATATCGACTACTCTTCTTTTTTTTTTTTTTTTTTTTTTTTTGAGGAAAAAATATCGACTACTCTTATATATAACTCTAATTTTTTTTTTTTTTGGGTAATATTGTATGAAAATTACTTCATGTCTATGATAAAAATGTCATACAATAACTACCATAAGTAACACTTTTAGTTTCGATTTCAATTTAATCTAAATTCTTACAATTTGACCGACACTTATTTTCATCCCTCCCAAAACTAATTTTTCCTATCTTCTCATCACTTGAAAACGGCATACCATCACGTGGTTTCTGTTCTGATCCAGCTTTCTTTCACAAAACACAACTCTTCTCTTTCTTCTAAGAAGAAACACAAGTCTGATATTCCTTCAATACTTCCTTTTTTAATTCAAATTTCTCAATTCTAAATACTGTTTTTAATGTTCTTCCTAATTTTCTCCAATCATCAACACTGTTAAATTTCCTTAAACAATTCGTGTATCTCCAATTCCCCTTGTTCTCTGACACTGTTTCCTTCTCTCTCTCTTCTTTCCCACTCAAATTGCAGATCTCACTGAATTTTCCCAGAAAATTATGGGAATTAACAGGATGTTTCCAGATTCCAAAGGGGGCCAAATGTTGATGGTGGGTTTGATTTTGATTGCTGCCGCTTTTTATGGAGGCACCCTCTTTGCCAATAATGCCCCTCTTTTGGAAATGCCCACTTCCTCCAATTTTTCTACTGGTAATTTTCTCAATTTTTGCTTAAAAATCCAATCTTTATTATTTTCTATTATTAAAGATTCAATCTTTATATTTCTTGCCCATTTAAGTTTGATATTTCTGTAAATTGATTTAATTTAATGTTAGTATGTTGTTTATTGTATTTTGCTGCTGGGTTTTTGTTGGATGTTTGTGTCATAAGCTTAAGTAGAAAAAATGGATATATGAGTTTATAGTGTTCAATTTGTTTAATTGGTAAAGAATATTGTGCAACCTTGGAATAGATATTGTTGATTAGCAATTGATTGGCAGCTCAAGCTATGAATTTCTGAGCTGTGTAATTATGATACTTAGTAGTAGATTGGCGAACCTGGTTATTGGGCAGGGCGTAGCGGGTCGAAGATTGGTTGTTGTTTCATTAATATACTTCAATGTCTTGGGAGATAAAGTATTAATTGAAATTTAAAGATTGGGTATAGAGAGGTGGATCAATGGATCATAGTGTGTTTTATGGATCTTAGGGCCGGTTAGAAACCGTTTCCTTCCCCACATTTTTCGATTTGGGATAGCATTTGAAAATTTGGCAGCTTCTCGAAGCATTGTTTCACTTCCAAGCTTATGATAAACTGAGTCGTGTCTCGCTCAATTGCTTTGTTGATTTTGAGGTGGATATTATTTTTGATAGTATCCAACAAGATTGGAATAGTTGATCCCCTTGATGCCGAGTGCCCACAAATTGGACGTCACAATATTTTGGGTGAAGAAAGAAAGTACCCTGCTGTAGTATGAAATTATGCATTTATGGAAACCATCAAACTTGGTGGTGTAATTCTTGAAGACTTGTTGCAACATAAATCATGTTATGAGGGTACATAGGGCTAGGAAATGACCATGTTCGCTGAATCTGTCAACAAGATCTTTCTTACTCTTACCATGTGACTACTAACCTATAGGACGATTTGCATTTGGATTGGGCAAGGATTAAAAAAAAAAAAGATGCTGAAGAAGCTTTGTATCTTTGGGACGTTATGGATTCTTTTATAATTGGCATCTTGCTTGAAACATGGTAGCAATTATAGAGGGCTAATAACTTAGTCAATTACTACGTAGGCCTCTATTGTGACAATGATGACATTGTAACTCACTGACCCCATCAATATCAAATGTGCATCCAAGATCAATGATCTACAAGTCTAGCTTTATATCCTATCTCATAATTTTCCTTCCAACTGGGAACATGTTGAGTAAGTTTTCATCATGTTAGGATCTAAATTCAGTTTAAGGCTTGAACGAATAGATGGACTTCCAATTGTTGGGAATTGGTAATTTAAACCATGTAGTGTGTGTCAACTTCCTTGTTTACTGCTCCTCTTTTATACTTGGTTTTGTGACAGATATTATGATAAGCCATTTGTTCTAGAAGAGACTAGGGAGTGTATATATTTGGCATTTGGGCCAAAGAAAGCCCCCTCATTTCTCATGTTGTTTGTTTTACATGAAAAACACTTTCACTAATCACCACTGTCTTCTCTTTCTTCTTTAATTCTGGTACTGCCATTCGCTCTCTTTTTACCCACTGCCTTTACCACCAAGTCCACCACCATTTATTTGGAACTACTAGAACCACCATAATCCTTGGCGGTCGCAGTCAAACAGATGTTATGAATCTATCACTTGGGGCTAAATTTGACTGTTAAAAGGTTGAATAGCCTCCTCTGTTCTCTCACCATTAACATCCTCATTCCCAATTGTGAAATAAAAAAGCTTTGGAGGGTTTGCTAAGGGTTTCAGTGGAGGATATAGAGTGGTGGCTGTGGTGGTTGTTGGATGAATTTTAGTGTTTTGGTGGGTTTTCATGGTAAATGGGTGGATTTTTGTGGTAATTTTCTGCGGCTGTGAGGCAGTGCTGGTGGTGTTTGGGGTAATTAAGGCTTAAGGTAGAGTTAAGGGATTAGAATGAAATCTTTCAAGGGTGGGGAATCATGGCAGATTGGCAGAGGAAAGTGGGGGAAACGTAATGGGAATGGGTCAAATGACTCAACAAACAACAAATTAAACACCCCATTAGTGTTTTTTCTGTCATTTATCGTTCAATGAGTAGGTTTTCTAGAAAGGTCTTGGTCAGTTACATAGCCCTTGTGCCTTGTAACAACTCTGCACCATTGAGTTTGGGCATTGTTCTTTAATCAAAAGGACTAATTGATGTATTGAAAGGATGTTTGGACTGAAATTAGCCACATGCCCAACTACTAAATAATCACAATTTCATAAATGTTTTGGGTTCTCGCGCTGTTCAAGAGCAGCAATGGGTCTTTTCCTTATGATATCCACTTGTTCAGTACCCTAATCTTTTGAAAGGCTAAAGTTCTGTTTAGAAGCCTATCATTAAACTACAGAAATCAATGGAAAAGTAATTTGAAATCTTTGATTTTCACCTGTTTGAAATGCTGTTCTGCAAATGTAATGGAAATATAGTATGTGCACTACACTTTGCACAATTTAAAATATTGTTAGATAGTGCACAAATGATATATTAATTGTAATATCAGCTTTTTTTTTTTTCCTTTTTTTTTTTTTTTTTTTTATTGCTTCATTGATCTAGATATTGTTCAATTGACAGTACCACATGTTGCAGATTCCTCAAGCTTTACAAATAGAGTTGCACTTAGTTATCGAAGGACACCATTGATGATTTCTCAATCAGGGATGAATGTATGCCCAATCAACATAAATGAACACATACCTTGCCACGATCCTTCTTATGTGAAAGAATTGCTCCCATCTCTTGATCTTTCGAGGAAAGAGGAACTGGGGAGGCACTGCCCTCCTCTTGACAAACGCTTATTCTGTTTGATACCACCCCCTAAGGATTATAAAATACCAATCAGGTGGCCAACCAGCAGGGATTATGTCTGGCGGAGTAATGTGAATCATACTCACCTTGCAGAAGTGAAAGGAGGTCAAAATTGGGTTCATGAAAAGGGGCAGCTGTGGTGGTTTCCCGGTGGTGGTACTCATTTCAAGCATGGAGCTGTTGAATACATTCAAAGGTAAATATCCACAACTTTTACATCATCTTGACTCTAGGAAATAGATACGTAGTATTATTAGTCTTTGTGAGTACTAGCAATCTTGCCCTGTGCTTGGTAGTTTATACAGCATAGTTTTGTGTAGAGCTGTTCAACTGACTGTGGCCCATTAATACCCTGCCCCATCCCAGTGTTATACGCGTTGGATCCAAAATATCCTGTAAAAGGGCCGGGTTGTTGATGGGGCCCTCAATAGGCCGGGGCGGGCTCTTAAAGGGTCACTTTTTTATGTGTGTTTCACGGCCTGGGGCAACCTTGCCTTCTCTCCCTTGGACACATCGCTTTTTTTATTCATCCAAAACAAATCAACATATCAACTCAAAATCTACTAGTAAAAATAAAAAATAAATAAATAAATAAATAAATTAAAAAAAAAAAATGAGGGAGAGAGAAACATTATAAACTCTTGAATCTACACATATTTATAAGCCAATTTCATCAATATTTCATTTTTGTAGATAGATAGAAGTCTTCAACTCTCTCTCTGAAGAGTAAACTCAAATTAGAGAGAACTTAGGTGACTTAATGAATCCTGGAAAATACTAGAGGAAGGGGATAAACTATGAAGAGTATAGGAGCGAGAAAGTGGAGCTGTTGGAAATCTGAGAAAGTTGAAAAAAAAAAAATAAATAAATAAAATGGTCAAAGGGATTCTTGAATTTGTCGGTGGACGGTGGTGAAAGCCTGAACCATGAAAAAAAGTGTGGTAAGGCCTATTAATATGAGTGGCCCTTTAAGTTCAAAGCAGGCCTGGGTCAGATATCCTGCCTCAGTCCATACTAATGTTTATCAAGGTCTGCCCCTATGTGCCCGTCCCCTGACCCACCTAGTTGAATAGACCTAGTATTGGGTATAGAAATTATTTACTTTGGTTTTATTGTCAATGTTTGTTCACGTCCTTATATTTCTAGTGCTTCATCTTCCAAGACCTCTACACCATGACTATGTAATGGTTTAAGGCCTTCAGTGCTGTCTTGCAGATAATTGATCTGCTGACTTAATTCTTTATGCAGGTTAGGAAATATGACCACTAATGAGACAGGTGATCTCCGTAATGCAGGGGTGTTTCAGGTTCTAGATGTTGGCTGTGGTGTTGCCAGCTTTGGAGCATATCTACTGCCATTAGATATACAAACAATGTCCTTTGCCCCCAAAGATGGGCATGAGAATCAGATTCAGTTTGCTTTAGAACGAGGAATTGGTGCAATGATTGCTGCCATATCTACAAAACAACTTCCTTATCCCACAAGCTCATTCGAAATGGTACATTGTTCAAGATGCCGTGTTGATTGGCACGAAAATGGTTAGTTACTTTATATTTCTTTCACATGTCTTTTGAGACATATATCTGATGGAACAACGTCATAAATACATGTAGTTTGGATTGTATTCAATTGTGAATAAGTGGTTTCTAGCAGATGAGTTGTTGGTGAAAGAAGTGGAAGATATTCGTTGATATTCTTTGTTCAATAACATAGCATGAAGTTCTCTATGTGTTTCTTCGCTTTTTTCATAAAAATTCTTGTAGATTTTTTGGTTTTTGACGTAGTATGTCAAGGTGGTTTATGCTCTCACGTCTTCAACTAGAATCATTTAACTCTCTAATTTACTAAAAGTATCCCATCCCTGCCTATGTGACAAAACAATGTTGTCTTGGAAAATTCATATCATTTTGTCTTTGTTGGAGCAAGCATCTAGTTTACTAAAAGTATCCCATCCCTGCCTATGTGACATAACAATGTTGTCTTGGAAAATTCATATCATTTTGTCTTTGTTGGATCAAGCGTGTCATATAATGAATGTTTAACTGTGGTACATACAATTGTAAAACGTTTTATTTACTGAAATTTTGTCGTGCCAATTTATTTTCCTAACCATGCTTTCACATACAATGAAATAATTTTTCTTTGTACAATATATGCAGATGGCATCCTGCTGAGAGAAGTTGACCGCCTTTTAAGACCAAAAGGATACTTTGTATACTCTGCCCCACCGGCATACAGAAAAGATAAAGATTACCCCATGATATGGGATAAGTTGGTGAATATAACAACAGCCATGTGTTGGAAACTCATAGCTAAAAAGGTTCAAACAGCAATCTGGGTTAAACCAGGGGATCAAACATGTGTCCAGCAGAATGCGGAACAAAACCTGGTACAAATATGTGACATGACCAATGATTTAAAGCCATCATGGAATAAACCACTGAAGAATTGTGTAACCTTGAGTGGTGAACTAGCAAATACTGATAAACTTCCTCCACGGCCAGAGCGTCTTTCTGTGTATTCTGAGAGTCTCAGTAGACTAGGTATGTTATTCTTCTAATTCTATAATCTATACAAATTGAATAATTTAATGATGTCTTGCTTTTCTCAGTTAATGTCAAAAAAATGTGCTTCCTAAATTTTGTGTCAACTTTTGGAATTAATTAACTAGGGTGAAATCGTAGAAATAAATGAACGCTTGCATTGGCTAAGTTGTAAGGCAGACTAGACTGGAGAATCTTACCACACCGTGTATGAAGCCCTATCAGGTGTATCAGGTAGCTAGATAAAAAGAAATAGCTTGAATTACTTGGTGCAGTTTTTAAAGCCCATTTTGTTAAGATATATTGAATGACTTAATTGATTTCTTTACATTTTTCAGTGGATTAGGGTGTAAAGTATAATTAACTTGTGTACTTTTTCTCATGCAACTAAATCATCTCTCTTTGAAAACTTTATAAATTACCAGAAAACGTCAAACTAGACCAGATCAGATCTTATTTCGGTTTGCTTAAAAAAAAATCTTCATTGTTGTATTTGTAAAAATTATAAAAAGATATTAGATATTTGAAAAATACACATTGAGACGAATCTATCAAGATTCCAATTGATGATAATTTTTCTTAGGAAAATTTCACATTTGCTACGAGGGAAAGCACCCGTGTTCACATTTGCTATCCCTTTAATTTTTTATTTTATATTACTACCACACAAACACACCTACTGTTAAAATCACTACCACTTAACGGAATCCGTTAGGATTTCCGTTAAGTTTATTAAAAAAAATAAAAAAAATAAATTAAAAATAAATAAATAAAAACCAACCACCCAAAAAACCCTAGCCCTCCCCGTCAGCCACCCTCCCCACTCCCCCTACCGGCGGCCAGCGCCCAAAGATGCGGCGACCGGCGTCGGAATCGGACCCTTCCCCTTCCCCACCCAAAACCGACAACCCTAACCCTTATTTCCCTGCCCAAAACCACCCTAAACGAGTTTTAGGGTTTCGCTTAGGGTGGTTTTGGGTGGCGGGGAATTCCTTCGTCGCGGCCAGAAAAGGGAACGGGGGACACGGAGGATTGGCTGGACGGTGAGTGGTGGTTGCGGTGGTTTGATGTTGAACAGCGGCGGTGGATTGACAGCTGGTGAGTGAGAAGAAGTGGTGGGTGGGAAGGAGTGGTGGTTGGACGGTGGTTGGGTGGTGGTAACGGGAATAGTAACGGTGTCTGTCAAGTGGTAGTGATTTTTATAAAACTCTGATTTAGGTGGTAGCAATTTAAAATAAAATATTAAAGGGGTAACAAATGTGAACACAGGTGCTTTCCTTGGTAGCAAATGTGAAATTTTCCTTTTTCTTACACTTTGATGTACAACTAAGGTCAAAGTTCAGTCATATCAAACAATCAGATTAGACTAGACCAAACCAGATTACAAAAGTTCAAACCAGAGCAGACGAGACTTTAGAAAATTCAGTACACCTTATTTTAGACTAAGAGAACAAAGCCTTAGATGATACTCCTTTAACATTTTTAACAAAATATAACAAATATTGCAACTTTGTTTTTAGCAGATACAGGTCTAATAAAAAAATTTCCTTTTTTGTTTGTTTATTTGTTATGGGATTAAGGCTTTGATTGATTGATTTTGTTTATTTAATTTTTTTTTTTTTTTTGGTTTGTGGCTGCCAAATATTTCTCTTACAATGTACAAGAAATAGAGCTAGTAGCAATAAAATTTCCCCAGCGAAAAATTGTAGTTATATAGATAACCATTTTCTTTCTTTGTATGTGTATGGTGACTTGACCACTTTTGCATGACTTCAATAGGTGTTAATCGAGAGCAATTTACTATGGACTCAGTATTTTGGAAGAATCAAGTTGAGCAGTATTGGATGTTGATGAATGTTAGCAAGACACAGATTCGAAATGTTATGGATATGAATGCCCTCTGGGGTGGTTTTGCTGCAGCATTAAACTCATATCCTGTTTGGGTCATGAATGTGGTTCCTTCAACCGCGGATGATACGTTGACTGCTATTTACAGTAGAGGTTTGCTCGGTGCTTTTCATGATTGGTAAGAAACTAGTATATTACATCTGCTATTTTTATCAACTCAATGGTGAGTTTGTAGATCAGCAATTTTAACCAAAGTTCATGAATGCTTTTTGTTTAGGTGTGAGCCATTTTCAACTTATCCTCGATCTTATGATCTTTTGCATGCGAGTTATCTTTTCTCTCATTACAAAGATCACAACAAGAATTGTTTGCTTGAGGATATCATGCTGGAGATGGATCGTATTCTGAGACCTGAGGTACCATTTAATATGTTTATGTCTCAATTTTTACAATATTCTCCACTTTAATTTTCTGGTACACCTTTCTGAAAGTGAGATATACACACGTCATAAAAGGTCCTTTGTCTGCTTTGTGATTAACATAGCTCAATATTTCTTGATAATATGATCATAAATTTTTACAAAAATAAAGCATGCATAGCACATACAAGTAACATGGTTTAGTGATTATTGACGGTCTTATGAGATTGCTCAAACATATAACTGATCCAAAAATAAAGCTTGCATAGCGCGTACAAGTAACATGGTTTGGTGATTAAAGACGTATAAGACTGTTCAGATATTCCACCTTCCCTTCGACATGACACGTACAAACAAAATACTTGTACCAAGCCATAAAGATCCTGGGTGCTCATCAAGTGAAATCTCATCTATGTTGGCTTGACAGGATAGAGTGGCTCAAGGTTTAAAAATCCTGCAGGGTCCAGTGTTTGGGTTGGAGGATGACATTTTGTTTTCTATAAAATTAAATTGCAATTCAATAAGAATCTGCTTTCTACCTTCATTTCCATTGTTTGGTTACCAGACATATTAGAGAAGATGGGGGTCCTTTACAATTCTGTAAAAAGGAGAACTCACAAACCAAACCCTTCCTGACCAAAAGCACACACTTGAGAAATCTTCGAGCATGCCCAGCTGGGTATTGATCATTATTCTAAATACTCAAGTCAGAACATGTAATATCTTCTTTCTGTTAATTGTACTTGTATCTTTTAGGCAGTCTATTGTCAATATCCTCTCACCTTCAACATTGAACCGAGGGCTTTTACACTCATTGTTTATGCACTTCTATAGCAATGTGTTGTTTTGTATGTACAGTACAGAAATAGGCTGGTCTTGTGTACAGTTAGTTAGCCATTTCATGCCAAACTTTGCTCAGGGCAATCTGTTTTGTGTCCATTCTTGTGGGTAGACAATTTGTAAGGCGTTTAGGGCTTGATATGTCATTTAGGGGAAAGAATATATATTTTGATGATGGGAAGAAAGCATAACTACACAAACATCCTTTAGATTTTGTTACCAACTCAAGTCCTGAAGTGGAATATTTTATATGCAGGGATTTATAATTATCAGGGATGAAGAACCAATCATTTCGAGAATTAAGGATCTTGCACCGAAGTTCCTTTGGGATGTGAGTTCATACCAGATGCAAAACAAACAAAATGAAAACGAATCTGTACTTGTTTGCAGGAAAAAATTCTGGGCAATTGTTTGAAAGATGTGTGTTAAACGAAATACGGACAGTCATTAATACAAATACTCCCCAGAATCCCCTGGATACATCCAGTTGAAGTATATAACAGGTGTGAGTTTGGGACAAAGGAAGAGTAGACAAAGAAGCATTTTGCAACTGTGTTAGCTTTTTTTTCTTCTAAGTTTGTTCTCATGGCAGGGCTTGGGCTTTTTTTTTTTCTTCTTTTTTTTTTTTTGGGTAGAAATAGTGATGGAGGAAAAAAAAAGGCAATAGTTTAGTTCTAATTTGCTGTATGAATACCATTTAATTAATTTATCTTTCCTCTTTACATAAATCAAGGCAATCTAGGTGAGAAGATCAATATTGTTATTGTATACAAGACTTTTGCCTTCGCCTAATCTATGTCTATACCTATATTTATTTATAATTTATCTCAAAGGCACATGTGGTATCCTTACCGTAGTATGACTTGGTGCCGTATGAGCGATGACATGGTAGGTCAAGACCATTGATCATGGTTATTTATAAGAGGAAGTCATGCTAGGGTGATTTTTTTTTTTTTTTTTTTTTTTTTGGGGGTACACGGTAAGATGAGGGGGGTGGCCCTCCTATCACAGGAGGGGTGAGATGAGGATCGAACCTAGGCCACTCCTAAAGGAGATGGAGGGACAAACTGTCCAACTATTGCAATAGATTTGCAGCTTCCAGTCCACTATGAATCACATTCCAATTTTCCTTATAATGCGAGGAGATTTGTGGGTAAAAATAAAAATGCTCATGAGGAAATTTCTTCTCACGAGTAAGAGTACTCTAGTATAAAAAGCTGTACAACAAGTGAACCAGACATGATCTCTTTATTTTAAAAAAGCCATACAACAACACAAACGGCTTAATTTTTCCCATCCCAATGACAACAAATCGTACTAGGATCATTATGACCATAGAAATATGCAAATGGTTATAATATTATACATGTGTTTATATATGACAAATCTTAGTACAATTTGAATTTGGATCGTCGTACGTAGTAACATTCATCAACATCCAATAATGCTCAACTTGATGCTATTAAAGGACCAACTCAACCAAAAGTTTAACTTGATAGTTGAGGTTCAGGAATAATAGGCTCACTCATGTTTGGCGCGAATTAATTCCACTTTAAAGGAGGGCTGGATGAGATTTAAAGTCGTGAACCTTTATGTCACGTTGGCTCTGATATTATGTTAAATTAAAAGATCAAATCAACCAAAAGTTTAAGTCGATGGTTGAGGCATAGAAATATGTTTTATACTCTATCAGATCCTACCAACAGTGCGTCTATACCAAATTGCTATCAATTAATATATTAAAAGAAAGAAAGCTAAGGATACAACAAAAACAAAAGTAATGGACATCTTTTTTTTTTTTTTCCCTTTCGTTTGGGCAAATTAAGAATTGAAGATGACAAAAGGATAGATAAGTCCGAGTATTAGTTGTACGAAAGGATAAGTAACTTTAAAAAACGTGGTTTTTTTTAAAATAAAAAATTGATTTTTGTAAGGACAAAGGCAATTTTGATACGGTTTGGAATTTTGGATTAATCAAATTAAATTAAAGTAGCCACTCAAAAGCTATCGAGATTTGTAAGGGTACTCCGTATTTTTTTTTTCTTAAAAAAAATAATAAAAAATTAAAAAAAAATTAAAAAATAACCTCATTTTGCCTATAAATAACCATTCAAAGTTCTCCTATTCCATATATACTTCCCAACAATACAACGTAACTCGAGAATATTTGTTTTCAGGTAATCCTTCTCTCTCTATCACTTGAATATTATTTCCCTTATTTTGTGTAATGGTGTTACGCAATGCAAGGTTATAAAATCTCTCACTTGATAAAAATTTGTGATTTTTATGATTTTTATATCTACAGATCTACTCTTCACCAGTTCACCACCACAGTAATTGATTTTAATTAACCACACTTATAAATATCCAGCATGGTCAAGTCTATACTGAGTACGGAGTATTATGTAACTTAGACTTTTAGTTATTTAAAAATGACTTGTTACATTCATTATTACTCCGTATTATATAGTGTTCTTACATTACTTTACGTGTTGTTGTGACTTGTGACATTCTTCACTCGTATAGTCGTATAGGTAGTATGTTTAACAAAGAAGAGGAAAAAAAAAAAATTCCTTATGTTATAGTTATAAATGTATGAAAGTTACATGATACTAAGTGGTATATGTATATATATATTGTTTAAGGCCTCTTTGACTATTAGATACCTCGTTAGGCCGTTAGTAACAACAGTTGATTTAGCAATGAGGTCTTGGCCTTATGGTTAAGAATGCGGGCATGTTTATGATAGGTTAGTTTGAATCTTCCATGCATCCTAATTCTAGTAACTTGATTTATTTAGCTTAGTAGAATATTTTGTAGGCTAATTTAAGAGAAGGGAGAAATCATGGCTGATGTGAACGTGACACCAGAAGTAGTGCCTGTAGAAGATGTGGAAATTGATATGGAAGCTAAGGCCAAGGAGTATGATACACATACTCCTAATGAATTTCCATTGACAACTGAAGTCAGAAACTTTAGCAGAAATCAAGTGCATATGGTGGAGACTCATTTTTGGCAGGGGTTTTCAACTAGTAACAGCTTCCCTGCACTACCAGTTAATCATGGTGTTGTAATGCACCAGGTCGCGTTTCTTGCCTCAGGCGTCAAGTGGGGAATCATCTATGCCGACGGTGATCAAGCCCGTAATCGTAAATTCATTGTTGCTGTTGATGGCATGACGGGCAAGGTAATGTATCATAACGTTTTACTTGGTATTAAAGTTGCATGTTTTTTTAGTTTAAGGGTTTGTTTTGATTTACTGAATTGAACTATTTATGAGTTCAGGAAATTAGGAAATGAACTAAAATTAAGTGGAAGAGAATAGGTCCTAAGAATATCAAAGTGACTCGTGATGTTATTGTACAGATCTATGTTGAAAGCGGACCAATAGGTCCAGTGGATTGGAAGGTAGTTGAAGTCAAACTGGACAGTCTTTCCGACAGCAAAGCTGATATCACTGACCCAATTTATGGAGGCAGGATTGTGGCCGAGTGTCACGGTCCGGGAGTTTGGACCCCGAAACGTGCGGCGCGCTCTAGCCTTTTGGCAGCAAGAACGCTAGCCTTGAGCGGAAGAGGGGCTTGTGAGCACAAAGCAACACAAGCGGGCAATAGAATCTCAGGAGCACTCACGTCTATCTAGGCGACGGAGTGCGGGTGGTCGGGGCTTGTGACGGCCGATATTTCAAAGCGGGCACAAGCGGGTCCGAACCACGAGTGCTTAGCGCATCAAGTTGGGTTGGAGGGGAGCTAATATGCAAGTAAGACACAATATCTATAAAGGTCTAACAACAAACAAGCATAAAAGCAAGGCAACACTTGGTAGAAGGCTTTAAGATTTCATTAATCATTCGCCCTCTAAAGAGCTTTAAACGACATACAAGGAGAATCCCTAGTGAACACTGATCTGATAGTAACACAATAATGGGACCTCAAGCTAAGAAAACATAACCTAAACTCTAGGAAAGCACTTAAATGGAATCTAATACATCAAAAGGAGTTGGATTCTAACACCGAGATTACCCTACCTATGCAGTTGCAAAGTTCTATAATTAGCTAGGCTCACATCACTTGAGCCAGTTTGTAATGTTGTGTTATGTATCTCGTGTGTTACATGCTATGTATGTTGTGTCTACGTGAGACGGGAATAAATGGTGAAGCTCCCCTCTAGGACCTACATACTCATGATCTTGAGTTCGTAACCAATTGAAAAGGAGGGTGATGCTCCCTAGCTTTCTATGTTTGCAATAATAATACAAGTGTATTTATTAATGGTTATGAATGTTCTTATTTATTACTTGTAGTCCCTTGACTTCCCTTCAAAACTCATTTCTAACAAACGAACCATAGAAACCTGTGTTAGGGACTCATAATAATATTTTATATATCCTAACAAACGAACCATGTAAACTTTTATTTAGGGGACTCATTTTAACATCTATATGATTTTGGGGACCTAATCATTAAGGTATCATGTGCGGTCGCCAAGTTGCGCCTCGTCAGCGTTGCCCTTGCCCACAAACAAGACAGACTATTTATCTTAATATCTTACAAGTTACAACTAAGAAAAGATATACTCTCTATGTCTCTAAATTACATTCCTACTTCTCTTTATTATGTGAGGAAAGAATGGTAGAAGTAGGAATGTAATTTAGAGAAGGCAATTAAACCCAAACATTTATTAAAAAAAAAACAAAAAAAAAAAAAAAAAACACCACATTCACCACCGTGAAACCCAAAAATTAAAATTAAAAAAAAAACCAAAAAAATTAAAAACACAAATACAAACCTAAAAACTTTAAGTGGCTTCGAATTTAACCTTGAATTTCATTTAACAAGGCTAAATTCGACCATGAAAACACTAGAGTGTTTTCATGGTCGAATTTGACCTTAGAAAACCCTTAATTTGTTAGTGTTGGCGGTGATAGATAGATCGAAAGAGAATAAGAAGAGGAGATAGAAGCAACTCGAAGAGGAGAAGGAGAACGAAGAGGACGAAGAGGAGAGAGGGAGCATATATATAGAAGGAGAATGAAGAGGAGAGAGAAGAAGAGGAAAGAAAAGAAGAAGGGGGAAAGAGGGAAAAAAAAAGCGGACAAGACCCTCTTAGGGTTTTCTAAAGTGTGTATTTTTTTATTTAAAAAAAATATTTAGACGGAAATTCCGTCGAAAATTTCCGACAAATTCTTATTCCGTCGAAAAGTACATAATTTCCAACTAATTTATATTCAGTCAGAAATTTCCGACGGATTTATATTCCGTCAGAAATTTCCGACGGATTTTCGACGGAATCATTAAATCCATCGGAAATTTGCAACAAAATTAAAATCCGTCGAAAAATATGATATTTCCGACGGATTTAAGTGTCCGTCAGAATTCGACCTGTTCTAGTAGTGCAACTAAATGGAAACGGAAGAAATATTTGTTATGATGTTTTGAGAAAGAAATACAGTACGGGATGTATAGTTTTGAATTTGAAAATAGAATATAGAGAGTTAGGTTAGAGGAGTTGAATAAGGTTTTGGATAGCTCTCATTGAAGGCCCGTTCTCATTGACTGAAATGAACTGAACTTATTAGAGCTGAACTGAAATGAACTTATTAGAGCTGAACTGAATTGAACATATTAGCTAGAATTGAACTGAACTGAACTGAATTGAACTGAATATAATCTGATGAGAACAAGCCCTGATTCTTATTCTAAAAAAAAATTATGTTACAAAATTTCATAATTGCTCCGATTTTGAAGAAAAATGGTGTCAGTATGTTT